AAAAAAAAAAAAAAAAAAAAAAAAAAAAAACTGGCTAAGTTCTACCCAAAAAAACATGGGGATGAATAAGTGGATCTCTATACCACGGCTTGTACAAAGTGGACTTCCCACAAATCAACCAATGGTAAAAACACCCTGGAAGCAATGTGCTACAAAACCATTCGCAAAAGTGTACCCTCTAACAGAGGTGAAGAAACTTCATCCTTACAGGTCTGATACTGTGGCTTTCTTTGAAATTAGATATTATCAGAAGCCCATTGAACTTTTGATTTGCAAATTCCTCTTCCAGTATCTGTTATGAGAAATTACTCCAATCTTTAAAACAGATCTATGCTTCCACAGCACAGTGATACTCTGTAGGCCTATACTGTCATGACAAAATCCTGTGTGCTACCCACACCAAACATGCAATAATGATGCCATAGATATCCTAGTTAGTACACCACATACACAGAGAATGTGCTTACAGATGCACTAGATAAGAAATCAACAGAAAGAAGGAAAAGAAGAAAAGAAAAGGAAAGAAAGACTTCTCTATTGGCAGCTCTAAAACTATTTTTTCCATGGGATCAAAGGTATCTAAGAATATGGTTTGATTTCAAGTGGAATAACAGGCCAGAAATCAGGTATTGGCAGTTTTCAACAAAGGGACTGAGATAAAAAGGAAAAAAGGAGGCCAGAATTTGCAAAGTGGTATGAGGAAGAGCTTCAAGACCCAGACTACTTAGCAGACATTTTCGTCACAAACCAGTTAAGCAAGTCCCTAAAAGACCCTGAAGAAAAAGGTCTGACTTCACATGATAAGATTCTTAGATTTCAGAGGGGAAAAACAAGGAAATTGAAATATGTTATGTATATATCCCTTTAGTGAATGAAACCACTGTGTACTGCAAACATGTACTAAAATTAAATTAAAAACTTAATTCAAATTTTAAAAAAATATTCTTGGATTTCAAAGAAAATAGCAATTTGGAAATAATACATGCTGCAACAGGAAACTTTAAATGCTCATATTGCTTGGGCTTCATAGGAAAAATAAGCCTTACTGAAAAAAATCTGAAAAAACTATAGGAGAAAATTATTTATCTTCCCTTTCAAAACGAGAGTCTGACAGGGTGAAAGATCCTTTCTCTGAATCCTCTGCTCAGCCTTCAAATCTGGCTCTGAGAAAAAAGCTTTGGAAGTGGGACTCTGGAGGTGTGCCTCAGAATCTGTGGATTTTTACAAGAGTATCCTGTGCCTTGGGAGGAAAGTCGTGAACCTTTCACAGCATTTTCTAACTTTCTGCATGTGTAAGCAAGTCTTTTTTGTTAGCAAACATGCAGAGTAAAGGCAGAAAGTGTTCTGTGAGAAATGAAATTCATGCTAGCATACCTTAAATTCAATCCAAAATAGGCATGTATTGTAAAAAGAAAAAGAAAAAAAACAAAGAACAAGTATGTTTCATCCTTCATTTTTACCTCAAAAATAGCACTTTAATGTATAGGTCTATAAAAGAAACAATAAATGCTACTAATACCACATTTGGGTTAGATATATGCTATGCAAAAAATGAAGTTGGAGTTTTCTCTAAAATCCTGTATAAAAAATTGTTAGGTCATATTTTTATTCACTTTGCTTTAGCCACTTTCAGAAACAAAAACAAAACAAAACAAAAAAACAACAAAATCTCATTTTAAGTGAGTTACTTCATAGAAATATATTGTTTGTCTTACAAGTTCTTTGAAATTTATTAAAAGGAAAAAGGTCAATCTCAGGTATAATTATCCATTTCTGCCCTCTATTCTCAAGAAAGACTGGGTGAAAACTAATTTTTCACTTTATAAAAAAGCAAGAACATCTAAAGTCTTACACAGACTACATGTCATTGATCATTTTGTTAGTCAGCATCATGTATAGTAAAAATTTATTAATAGAACTTTTAGGTTTTCTTGGATAAGGCAAACCACAAAACAGGAGAAGGAAATTTTTTAAAGAAAAAAAAATGCAAGTTCCTTCTACTTACAGTAGTACTTAACATTATAGTTATATGAAGAGGCAAATATCACACACAAGAGCAGTCTGATAAACTAGCCAAAATTTCTCTATTAATAGAGCAATGGTAATTTTACTGCATTATAGCTACAACTTAATATTAAATATAGGTACTGCGAACTGTAGTCTGTTTGTTTAGTACTCAGGAAGAACAAATGGTTCAGATGAGAACAGGATTAAAGGGTCTAGGTGCACAGTCCTAGAAAAACCAACAGATTGTATTCTGAGTACTGACCAGAGATTCAGTTCGAATAATATGGTAAGTAAACAACTAAGAGGGGTTCAGCATTAAATGGAGAAATGTTGTAAATATTCTCCATAGTCGTGGGCTATAAACATGGAATGATTTGACTAGAAAGGTAATATAAAGGTAATATTAGAAAGACTCAGGGTGGGAAAGAGCATGCAGGAGCTGGGAGTCAAGAGCTAAACTTTCATTTTTCACCATAGGAATTCAAGAGATATTTCAAACTAAAATTTTAACAACAGAGCATGCAAATTAGAAATATAAAGGTCAACAAGTAAAGAAATAGCTTTGGAAGAAGTTGAAAAGCTGTCTCAGAAGAGCAGGAACTAGCTCTGTTGAAGACTGTGGTGAAAGTCTCCTATTTGTTGTAAGCCTCGAAGCATTAGTTTTTATTTTTTTAATGTACATTAAATAGATGTATTGAACTTTGAGTGGTAGCACATGCCTGTAATCCTAGCACTCAGGAGGCTGAGGCAAGAGGATCATGGCAAATTCAAGGCCATTCCGGGCTATAGTGAGTTCAAGGCCAGCCTGAATTACAAGAGCAAGACTCTTCTCTCAACCACTCCACCAAAAAATATGTATTAACTTGGATGAAAGTAAAATTAAAATTCAGCATGGTTCACAAGCAACAGACATGTACACCTTTACCATTCCAAACTTGTTATATGTAAGTGTGAATACACGTACATGTGTGTGATGGCCTATTTTTTTAAGTTATTAGGTTGAGAAAAAGGCTTATCCTTCCAAACTGAAAATAAGTTAGACCCTGATTATGAATAACAATTATATGGCTTTTTCCTGTGAAAAATGCCAGAAAATTACAATATACATGCAAAATATAGCAAACTTATCAAGAGCATAATCATTAAATATAGAAATATTACCTTGTAAAAGTTTCCATATGACTTTCGAATATTGATCCACTTTTTAGCAAAAGAAGGATATTTGAGTCTGCTGAGTTGGCACTGAATGTTCAAGAACTTACTCATATCCCATGAACTTATAAACCAAAACAAGAAAAAAGATGGATAAAATAAATACTGTATTATTCTTACAAATAAAGTGTTTTACGCCATTCTTTTTATTTCCATGTCAATCTTCTCATATGCATACAATAAACAGATAATTAAGCCTACCCACCCCTACGAAATTCATCAAAAATAAGCATTAAAAAGGAAAAATACTTGAACATACTAATCCTTAATGTTTTTAAAGTTCTGTTATGTGTACAGACTTCTACCTTGCTGAGTGTTTCTTTGTAATTCTCAAGTAACTGCTAGGTTAATATATAATGGCATTAGGAGGCTTTTTAAGGGTACACTTTCAAATAAAACAAATGCCACATTTTAAAAAAAATTTTAAAATATAACCTGTTCTGCTACAGTGCTTATTTCTACAACACCAACCAACTTTTTAGTCAAGAAGGCCCACACTGTGCAATCACATTATTTTTATTAGTGCTCTGATAATAAAAATCAGATTTTGAACAACCTGCCCAGAATGTGAGGCTTTTTATACCTGTATATACTGTATTATAATAAAAATATCTGTCATTGTTAGCAGAAACACTGCCTACTCATGTTGAAAATCAGTAACAGATTTCTAAAACAGTCCATTTTAGAAGTTTTCCAAATTATATGATTGAATTCATGTTCTTCTCTTCTTGTATAAGGACACACAATCCTCTGTTGGTAACATTTCACCTTGAGTGAGAGTACAAACTGTACACAGTTCAAAACAGAAGCCTTTTAAGACTTTCGCTTCAACCTTAATGGTATATGATACAGATGTCCTGGTACAATGCCTTAATCCCTGTTTTAACCTTTGTAATATATTCATTTAGTTTTTCAATTAAGGAAGATAATCGGGTAGTACAAGTCCTTTGGTCTGAGAGGATTTTTAATTTCTTTGCAAAAAGAAAAATAAGCTTTCTTACACGAAGATATCAGAATATATAGTTAGAATTGTTCATATCAGGCTATATATAAAAGATCAATGTGGTTGTAGTGTCAGGGAAAACACAGGACTCTGATGATAAGCAGGGAGGAAGAAAGTCTCTCAGTGGAGAGGAAATCCTGCAATACACAAAGGAAGCATAAACCATGTGAATTCATGGGCAGTCTGACTATAACAGAAAGAAATAATGGTAGGCGGATTAGGCTAAATAGATTGGATGGAACGAGAGAACCTTGACTGCTAAGCTGAAGACTTCTGTGAGCATGCAAGTGTCATGATAAGAAAAGGCTTTTTGAAAAGTCATTTTATTTTCAAATGTTAATATTCATCTTTCTAGTCCTCAAGTCCTGAACTAGACTGTTACTGTCACTCTCCATCTCATCTCTAGGCTTCACAAGTTAAATAGGAAAAGAAATATAAAAGAAAAAATACTGTCTCTAGTGGGTGATCACAAAATCTTTAACAAATAATAGTTCAGTAATTATTCTAAAAGTTAAATGAACTAGGGATCTTGAAAAAGTAAATTTTTAAATTTTCCTAAGTACTTACCCATCTGTTAATATGCAGTATTTATATTTCGTTCCTAATTCCTTCAACTTCATCCAGTCAATTACTTTTTTAAGTACCTGAGGGAAAGTGTCAGCTCTGTCTACCTGATCCTGAGGATATAAAAACAAAGATATGAAACTCAGGATATAAAATCAGGGTGACAACTTAGTCCTACAAGACACCCAGACATAAACTGGAGGGAAATGGACAACATGCAAACTTGTCATAATTTTCCAGGCTTCGATCCACCTACCATCTAAAGTTTCATGTAAGACAATTAAAAATTGTTTAGTGCCATGTGTGGCATGCCAGATGAATGCCTATAATCCCAGCAGTCTAGATGGCTGAGGCAGGAGGATTGAAAGTTTGAGCCCAGTCTGGGCAACGTGGCCACTTACTGAGACTCTATTTCAAAATTAAATATTAAAAAATCTAAGATTTAAGATCATTCTCAGTGGCTCACTTTTTAAAAATTCTATTTATTTATTTTTGAGACAGGGTGTTGCTATGTAGTTTAGGCTGGCCTTGAGCTTAGTAAGTAGCCCAGGCTGGCTTTGAATTCACAGTGATCCTCCTGCTTCAGCCTCCTGAGTGCTGGGATTACAGGCCTGCACCACTGTATCTGACCCTCAGTGGCTCACTTTTTAGAATCTAGTGGCTTACTGATTCCTCAGAGTAGATAAAAAGGAAACCTTTAATCAACTGAAAACCACAGCTGCTCAAGTGGTCTCCGTACCTCAAATTTTATGCCTTTCTGCAACACACTACACAATGCTGCCAGACTAGATTTCCTAAAAAGTAAATCTGACCTATCAACCACTCACACTCCAAATGTCTTCCACTCTCTAAGGCTTTCAGGCTAAAAGGATATGTAAGAGCCTTTGTTCTGGTTTGTCTCTGCCTACCTCACCTATTTCTCACTAAACTGCACACATTTGGGTCATCCTGAGTTTTGTCATTCTACACATGATATGCTCATTTCTTTCGTATTTATGTATCATGACTCGGGCCAAGTTAACCAACATGATGAAGGTTGTCCCAGGACAGCTCTGTCACATACTATCTAATGACCCCCAAGAGCCTCATGTGCTCACAGATAGGGCTTTTAGAAGCAGAGTGGATTATGGGACCTTATAGCTGACTTGCTGTTAGGAGGTAGGGTCTAGTCAGGAGAGAAGGGTCACTGAGGATGTGGTCTGGAAGGGTTATTTCTCCTTACCTCCTCCCTTCACCCTGTTTCCTGGATGCCACGAGGTAAACAGTTATCCTCTGCCCAGGCCCACTCACCATGCCCTTCTGTCTTCAGGTCAGCAACTAGGGACTGAACCTCTATAAACTATATAAATCTTTCCACTTTTCAGTTTTAAGGGCCAGGTACTTTGTCCCAGCAACAAGAAAAGTGACTAAGACAGATTCTGGTACCAGGAGTGGGGTACTGCTGTGACTGTGGATCAGAAATCTCTGGAACTGGTGCACAGGAGTCTAGAAAGGTTTGGAGATGCTGGCTAGAGAAGGAACTCTAGAATGCTGTAAGCTCAGTTTGATGTGTGATACTGGTCACAGCTCACTAGATCAGAGTACTGCTACAAATGCAGACAGTAAAAACCAGGCTCAGGACTCCACTGGCAGCTGGACTTCAGAGCATGTATGTTATGCTCTGGCAGAAAATTTGTCCACATTTTGCTCATGTAGGAAACTAAGATTAAGGATAGCAGATTAATTAATGTCAATCAGGAAAAGGCCAAGGCAGCCAACATTAGGGCTGTGGCACAGATACTACTGGAGGCTTACTGAGGTCTATACTGAAAATCAGAAGCAAAAATGCCCATTTTACAAGTTTTTGGTCTTGACAGAAAGAAAGTACCTGCAAAGATGGAGCAGAGAAGAGCTTGGTTGCTCTTAAAAGAAGCTAAGTACTTTGGATCAGGACAACAGGAAAAATGCCTTGAAGGCATGTGAGGAATCAACAGGGCCTCATTCTTCACAGGCTCAAAGTTGCAAAAGTAAGACTTTGTTTCAAGAACAGAATACCAAAGTCCAGTGCCACCATCGTGCCACTGCCCAGGAAGTCTGTTCCTCAGGATTCAGTTCACAGTATTTAGTCATCCAGGCACATGGAGGCCTCTGCAGACATGATATAAGGAAGCCTGGCTATTGCTCAAGCTGACAGAAGACCTTGGCATCATCCACACAGTGCTGATTTTACAGATATGCACAATGCAACAATTGTAGTGATAGGGAGGCCTCTACCCAGACTTTAAAAGGAAGCCTGAAGCTGGGCATAGTGGTGCATGCCTGTAATACCAGCACTCTGGAGGCTGAGGCAGGACAATCACTGCAAGTCTGGGACCAGCCTAGGCTACATAGTGAGTTCAAGGCCAGTCTAAACTACATAGTGATACCCTGTCTCAAAAAATAAGCAAGCAAGCAAATAAACAATATAAATAAATAAAAGAAAGCCCGGGAAGCCAGACAGTACATCCCAGGGAAGGAAGTACATGGAGTGACATCAAAAAAAGTGCAGTGGAGAGTCCACAAAGCTGGAGAAGCCAAAAACAAAGAACGTCTGAGGGAAGTGTCAAGGAATGAGCAAAGCCAGCCCAACAGAGCAGCCATGAGGGCTACAACCACTGGCAATGCTGTAGGGATAGGCCGCCCAAGCCCTTTTGAGTTCACATCTTACCACATCTTGCCCCAGGTGCTGGACAAAGCTATAGGCTTTAATGTTTATCCTGCTAGGTTTCAGTCTTGCTTTGGTTCCATTCCTTTTTATTTCCCTCTTCCTCCTTTTTAGAATGTTTACCCTATGCCATTGTTTATAGACAGTGTTTAACTTTTTTAATTTTTATTAAGGCTAACAGAGTCTGTCTTAGGTTTAAGAGGAGACTTTGAACTTGGACTTTTTAGCAACGCTACAACTATTAGGACTTTGTCAACTCTCAGACATGGACTACATACATTTTGTATAAATAGGTGCACATGAGCCTTTTGGAGGCCAGGGGCAGAATATTATGGTTTATATCTAGATGTTCCCCAACAGCCACTTGTGCCCACAGGCAGGCCTTTTATAAGGTGATTGGATTATAGGGGTTTATAGCTGACTTGCTGTTAGGAGGCAGAGTCTTGTCAGAAGAGGTGGGTCACTGGGTGTGGCCTAGAAGGGTATATATCTCACTTTCCAGCTCTTGCCTTCACTTTGCTTCCTGGATGCTTTAAGGTAAACAGCTTTCCTCCATCCAGGCCGGACCACATCATTTTACCCTGGAGCAGATCACTAGAGACAGAAATCTCTACAAACTGTAAGTCAAAATAAACCTTTCCTCCTCTTCGTCAAGGTTTTTAGGTATTTTGGCTGAGTGATGAGAAAAGTGGCTAAAACAGCCATTTTCATAGAATCCCAGAATGCCGTGATAAAACACTGACTTGTCACTCTTTTTAATCATTCTGTGACCACTGGCTTATTCTGCCTCTCCTCCTGGCTCATAGGGTGTAAGAAGCTGAGCATAAAAGGCTAACTTGACTGTCTCTGAATCCCTAGTTGTTTGGTAAATTATAATGGGCTCTCAAATTTTAAATGTAGAGTGAATGAATAAATGAAGGAAATAAATAAATGAACCAAAGACCTACATGTTAGAATACAACAAAACATCAGAGCCTAAAGATAATATTAATAAAGTTATATATAAAGTCAGGAGGTAGCCAGACATAGTAGCACATGCTTGCAATCCTAGCACTCAGGAAGCTAAGGCAAGAAGATTCTAAGTTTCAGGATAACCTGGACTAAGGAAGAAGGCAGAAAGGGAGGGAGGGAAGGAAAGAGAAAGAGGAGAGAGGGAGAGGAGAGAGGCAGAAAGGAAAGAAAGGAAGGAAGGAGGAGGGAGGGACTGTAAAGAGATACTAAGTAGTGGAGGCTGACTCTGTTAATGTTCCATTTTACAAATGACATCTTTAAATGAATCCTTAAAACTCTTTTAAATGCAAAGGCTGAGTAAAATGTTACAGGATGTAAAATGTGCTTTTTGTTTTTCTTTTTGAAAAGACTCAAAGTCCTGGTCTCTAGCAATCCTCACACCTCAGCCTCCCATGTAGCTGGGATTAGAGATACACACAACAGGTTGTACTTTTAAAAATGATTAAAATGTGAAAGATCTTTATCAAACAATAAAAATACCACACTAAACTGACCGTGATAAATGTTTTAAACTGTCCCTAAAATAAATCCTTAATTTAAATGCCATTTTCAAACTCTAGCGAAAAGAAAATAGAATTATTACCTGAGTAATTCCAGTAAGACTGATGCAGAAATCAGAAAGTTGTGTGTTGATCTCTGGTCTCACATACTGCTGAAATGTATCTTCCTACAAGAGAAGGATAATATCTTAAAGTAGTTTATGTACCAAATTCAGTCATGGCACAGATCTTTCCATAGTTTTTAAGGATAATTCTCCATACTTACAACCCTCCGATTTTTTAATTTGGAAAAAAAAAAAAAAAACTTTTGGGGGGATGGGGGACTGAAGACTGGACCCACGGCCTTCACACTGAGCTAGATCCCCAACTCTTTTTCTTTCTTTGCTGAGACAGTTTTGCCAGGTTACTAAATTGCCCAGACTGGGCTGAACATGCAATCCTCCTGCCTCAGCCTCGGGATTACAGGCACACCCAATCACTCAGGCCTGGCTTTAAAAAAAAAAAAATCACTTGTTTCATAGTTTAAAAATAACTTTTAAGAATCTTTTTTTTAGGTCTTATAGTGAGTAACTACTTTGAAGAAAACAATACACAATGTAATAACTGTTACTCTCTTATTTGGTTATGAAATTTTATTTTTTCATAAAATAAAAAGATTTTAAAAATTTAAGATACAGCAAGTGTCTGAAACCAAGCCTTCAAATCAAAATTTAAATATTTTTCTGAGAAGTAAAATATTGATAATTTTGCCTATATTACTTTTAAATTATAAAATCTATTACATGCAATCTCTACTTCAAGAATACAAGAATTTTTAAAAAGTTCGAGTCAAGTTCAATACTCAGTTATAATAAAATAGTTACATATTATTGCTCTCATTTACTCCTGGATAGTCTTCATTTTCATAAAGATTTAAATAAATTAAATTCTAAATAGCCAAAATTCTATTGTATGGTATTCAATAGTTTAAAGGATTGATACTACTATACATATATGGGGGTGTTAACTGGAACTCTAGGCCTTTGCTCTGGGATACATCCCTAGTCCTTATTAATATTTTGTATTTAGAGACAAGTTCTGACTGAGTTGCTAAACTGCCCAGACTGGGTCTGAACTCATGATCCTTCTGCCTCAGGCCTCCCAGAGTGCTGGGATCATAGGCGTGCACCACCACGTCCAACTATTTATAGCATTTTTAAAGCTTTTCCAGAAGCTGTCATGCCAGTAGTCTGTTTTATGCACAAAACTCTGTGAACTAAGACCAGTACTGTCATCAGACTCTAATATCTAAATGCTTTTTCTTCTAGTCAGGTGTTGCCTCCCCAAACCAGAACTCAATTAGATACTTTTTTAAAATTAAGGTCTTTTTGTTTTGTTTTGTTTTTTGGCTGAGACAGAGTCTCACTATATACTTTGGGCTATTATCAAATTCACTAGGGGGCCCAGGCTGGCCTTGAATTCATGGCAATCTTCCTGTCTCAGCCTCCCAGTGCTGGGATTATAGGTAGGTACAACCATGTCTGGCAAAATAAGGGCAAATTACAAAGCATAAGGATTTTAAAACAGCAACTATCTCTCCCAGTTAGATATAATGAAAAAGACAATATATTTTGTGGTACAGTTAAACATTAAGAAAAGTAAATGTTTACACTTCCTAAGAATTAATTCTTGCTACACACCAATCTAGTAAGCAGATGAACTATAAATAATTAAGCATCATAAAAGAGGTGAGGTGTGGTGGCGCCTGCCTGTGATTCTAGTACTCTGGGAGACTTGTGATAGGAAGATCACAAGCTCAAACTCAGCCTGAGCAACTTAGCCATTTAATGAGACTCTGTCTTAATATTTTTAAATGAATGAGAATACAGTTCAGTGCAAAGGCCCTGGGTTCAATCCCTGGTACCAGAGAGGGAAACTACAATAGACTGTAAGTAAAAAAATACCAAAAAATATTTTATTCTCCAAAGTTAGACGCCCTTTACTTACCAGACTTAACATGGAAGAATTCCACTTAGTTGAATATTAGAAACAAGTAAATTCTATTAAAAAGTCCTTTTAAGTATAAACATTTTTTTCTATAATTTTAAATAGAAATTGTTCAAAATTATGTTACAACACCCCTTTGCCATTATAATCAGGTAACATTAAATACAGCATTAACAAGATAGTCAATTTTGTTTTCAGCACTTAAGGATCAAACCCAGTTCTTGTGTATGTTAGGCAAGTGCTCTATCATCGAGCTTTCCCCAAGCCCCATTTATTTCATTCATTTTAATACTTTTAACAGAATGCTAAGGAATTTGCATTTATTAACCAAATATTAAAGTATCACTTATAAGAAAAGTAGAGCATACAAGAAGAAAACACTGGCTATATGGGGTGTTTATTCGCTTCCCTTTAAATAGGATAACCAGATAGGCTTTATTTAGAGGTGAAATTTAAGGGAAGACTGGGATTGAGGAAATCAGCCAGCAACACTTTACGGAGAAAGAACTAGATTTAAACTACGTGGAAATAAGGTGGAAGCAAATCTAGAGATTTTTGAGTAACAGGAATGAAATGAAATGATTTTTTTTTTTTTTTGAACCTAGGAACTCTGCACAGTGCTACATCCTCACGTTTTTATTTTTATGTTTTTTGTTTGAGACAATCTTGCTACAGTCTTCCTGCTTTTGTCTCCCAGAGTGCTGGGATTACAGGTATGTACTACCACACTGGGCTTCAAGATTTTTGTTGTTCAGAGTCTTGCTATATAGACCAGGCTGGTCTTGAACTAAGGATGATTCTCCTGCTTTAGCCTCCCAAGTGCTGGGATTACAGGCATGCACCACCATCACTCATATTTTTAAATGATTACACAGATCACTATGTTGAAATTGACTGCAAGGTTTCCAAGATAGAAATATACAGACCTATTATGGCAAATGGCAAATGCAGTAATTCTAAGTGACTGGGTTCTCTATTTATCTGGAATGCAGATGCAAACTGGAATCACTAATGGGCTGGATGTGTAATGTTAAAGAGGCAGAAATCCAGGGTAACTACAAAGTTTGAACTGAGCAATTACGGAGATTAGAATTATACACGTAATCCCAGCTACTAAGGAGGATTACAAGCTCCTGGACAACTTAGTGTCACCTTGTCCCAAAATTTAAAATATTAAAAACAGGCTGGAAATATAGCTCAGAGCTTCCTGGACTTAAACCCACCAGAAAATTAAAGAGGCAGAAATCCAGGGTAACTACAAAGTTTGAACTGAGCAATTACGGAGATTAGAATTATACACGTAATCCCATATACTAAGGAGGATTACAAGCTCCTGGACAACTTAGTGTCACCTTGTCCCAAAATTTAAAATATTAAAAACAGGCTGGAAATATAGCTCAGAGCTTCCTGGACTTAAACCCACCAGAAAACAGCAGAGGAAAAAAAAAAAAAAAAGAGTATGTTTGCATGTTATGAGAACAACATAGAAAAAAGAAGTAAATCATAAGTCTTAATGAGATAGGGGAAAACTGCTAAAGCAATGTCCTTGAATAAGTGGAATCTAGTGAGTAATCTAAGATTATTTGCCTTCATAGCTGCCAATTTTCCTTTTAATTTACTGATCTTTAATCTTCTTTGGATGGGAGTAATTAGAAATAGGCTGGTCATGAATAGAACTAAGAGAGACTTTGGAGAAACTGTGGGAAGCAGAGAGGATACACATGAGCATCTCCTCTAACTCTTCTGATTCCATTAGATACAGATCCAGTGGCTTCAGTGAAGACTCTCGGGAGGAAATTCAGGAATAAAAATGGAGAAAGTATCAGAAATTTCAACAGAAATCCCCCAAAACAGCCAGGAACCAAAGAAGAGAAAAGAAAACCAAGAACCAAAAAAGTTCTCAAGCCAGTTCATCCAACCATGGAGTGATGAGGAAATCCAAAGCTTCCTTGAAGAATGGGAATTTCTTGAATACGATATGTATTTACCAGTGAAGAAGAAAAATTACTTAATGTCAAAAGCAATTGCCCAACGTCTCAGACACAGAGGCATAAGGAAGAACTGGAAAAAGTGTTTACACTTGCTGATAAGTCTGCAGGACTTATACTGGACTATTTGTGAGGCCAATGAGAAACCAAGGAGCAAACCCTTGCCATGTCCATTTGGAGAGGCCATACACAGGATTCTGGGATATACATGGAACGACAGTGCAGTCTCAGGTCCCTTCTGGGAAGATGCTGTTGTCCTACCTCTTGAGTACCAGCCCCAGTATGACTGCATGCCCATTCCCTTTGAGGAGCCACTGTGGACTGCTCCCACTATGATCTTCATGGAGGATCCTTGGATACCCCAATGGGAGCCATGGAATATGAATACTCCTATGGCAATTCCACACCTGCTTCCTGCCCCTGCCTTTCTCCCAGCAGTCCCTGTCCCCCATCAGTCAGGAATTGACCTATTCTGGCACTGATGTATATTCTATATCCTCAGAAAGGACAAATTAGAAACTCCATCTCAATTCTGTCTGAAGGTAACAGAATAGTGTAATTCTGTAACTGGTGATTCTCTTTTTACAGCCAACAGTCAGAATAAAATATGAAATAAATGAAAATAAAATAGGCTTAATGAGAGAACAGTTAAAAAAAATCTATGCATTTTCATGCAGAAAGTCTTGTCATACTTACTGCCAGTACATATACTGCAACATGATTATCAAAAGACATGACTTTTGGTAGATGAAATGTTGTGACATTTCCTCACACAGATTTTATAAGCCAAACAGTATTTTGGAGAAATCATTATTTTTTCCTAAACTAAGAATGCACTGACCATAATTACCTAAAACATATATGTGACTTTGATATGGTTATACAGAGTTGTTTCTCCCATAAACTTTCCATTAGAAAGATGGCCAGCAGCCTAAACTATACAGCAAGACTCTGTTTCAGAAAAATAAAGTCAGCCAGTTCTTTTTCTGTACATTATTATACTTTGAGATTAGAGTGCACATTTGGCCAAAGTAGTGGCCTGACTGAATATTATACCACCTGAAAAGTTTTCAAAGCATTTTCTACCACAGAACAACTAAATTAATATCGGTGGGACTAGAAATCAATTTTTTGCTTTTTTCTTTTGCTTCCCAAGAGATTCCAATGTTCACATAGATGTTCTAAGCAAACAGGGGGGAAAAAACTATAATTTTAGCTGCTGGTATAGACAGAAGCAGTTTTTGTAATTGTTTTATTGGTTTTTCTGTTAACTGATACAAAGTTCAGCAAAAAAAGCTCACTAGGAATTTTAATTCTAGCTAAAATGAAAATGAGATCCAACTTACTAGAGAACACTGCAATGATTACTGTGAAAAATAAAATATAGCAATTAACTTACTATTTCTAAGGTGTGCGTATTCAATAAAACAACAGGAAACTCAATTATCTCATGTATAAACTCAGGTGGGTTACCCTCTTCACAAGTGGCTTCAAAGTCAATAATACAAATGTAGTCATAGTAACTGTCAGCACAGTTACTCTCTTTCAACATCAGCTTCTGCTTCTTATAATAGTTTTTCAGTCTCTTCTTTAGTACATCCTTTACTCCTCTAAGTAAAAGAAGAATAAAATTTACTAAGATGAATTTTACAAAAAAGAACCATAACTCTTACCTGTGGGCACTGGAGTGAACACTGACAGTCACCGCATAATTTAGCAAACACTAGCTAAAATAAATGAAAGGAAAGCAAAACTCAAAGATAAGTTAGCAAAAAGATAATAAATATAAAACATTATTACAACATGAACATTTTCCTTCACAAGTAAATTTTCATTTTAGTAGTACAGTGCTACCTCAGTTTACGAACTTAATTTAAGATTCTGGGCAAAATAATTGCATTTATATTTGTGTGGGGAAGATAACCATGGTCGTGTCACCTGATGCAGAATTTGTGAATAGAAACAAAATTCTGCCAAACGTTTTTGTGAAGTGAACTGTCCGCAAACAGAAGTACTCGTGAATCAAAGTACTACTGTATAGAAGACCATTTTCTCCAGTGTACTGGTATATAAACTTAGAAATCACAACCAGCGCTCAGACTTGCTTCAGTGTTAATTGGTTGAACCCTATACATGAAAACAACAGTAAAAAGATGTGCAGTGTTATTAACATGTAGTATCAAGTGAATCATTTTGGTCACTTAGTCAAATTAGTCACTTAAAAAACAAAACAAAACAAAAACGCTATTATTTTGGACTTTTTTTAATTTTTTTGGTACTGGGGATTGAACCCACTACTTTCACAGGGCAACATCTCCAGCTCCTTTTTATTTTAAGACAAGGGCTCAAAAAGTTGATTAGACTAGGCTCCATCTTGCAATTGTCTTACTTCAATCTCCCAGAGTGCTGAAATTTCAGGTATGTGCTATCCACAGTTCATTCTAAGATACCAATGAAGCATTCAAAAGGAATCTTGCCCAAGAAAATCACTGATAATCAAACAACTGGTTCTCTTAAGACAAAAAATATCCTCATATTTTTGAGATCTTCCAAATTATTGAAAATGGGGGGAGGGATCTCCACTCCTTTCATATCAACACATTGCGAGGAACCTAACGTAACAGCTTTAGATTATTTTGTCTTCCTTTTGCTTTCTTTTTTTTGAGAAGCCATACTGACTGAAGGATTGCCTGCAAATTCAAAGGTACCTGTCATCTTTAACACCTCCCTTGCTCCCCTACATCTAAATTCTAACCATTACCAATTCCAACTCAGAAAAATATCGAGAATCTGGTACTAATTTCCCCATTGTGGCTCACATTAGTTTCTTGAATTATAGTTAAGTTCTCCACTTCATTCTTTACCTTACTTGAGAACTGAGCACTAATGCCAATTTCATGCCTAAATATCTTTAGTGGCTTTCTATTGCTTATAGGGTAAAATGCAGACTTCAGCATAGGGTTCCTTTACAACTTGGCTAACAACTTGTCATTTTTGAACGATTGTCAAACATTCCTGCTCCCTCACTGTACAATGGTACATCATATACTACAGATAAAATATAATGTAAACCATGGCATAATTATGGGGTATGCTTTCATATTCTATTAACTATGACTGCACAGTAGCCAAAGAAAAGGCAAGATTATGTATCACAAAACATATAAAGAGGAATTTCCTTTTTTAGTTCTTTATACCTGAAATACCTTCCTTTTTCTGTCCAGCACAATTCAAATGCCATCTTCCTGAGTTAAAGAAACACTCTCTCTGTTCTCATGCTATACTTAGCCAGACCACCAATGTAGCACTAGCTACTCTGATTTGTAATTTTTGGGGGGGATTCCCAAAACTGTGAGATTGCCAAGATGGGGTACATATCTTTATTTACCTTAAAAACTTCAATGCCTAGTGTAGTGCTTAGAATTCAATAGTCTTGTTGAATAAATGTATAAACGTACATCTAGATCTCTATCTCCCATGCAAGCTAAAAGAAAGCAAATGATCTTCACACCTGGGAAGGACAAAAATTTTACTCAGAAAATCTTCTGTAGGTTACAGGTTGTACCTTTAGAAGAGAAAGAATTGGGGAAAATGAAGTCAAGACTTTCTTCCCAAATTATGTAGACAATCTACATGGGAAAAAATTTTATTTGTGTTCTTTTGAAAAGTAGTGCTCTTTAAAGCAAAGAGAAGGCATATACTTAGAAGGGCATAAAGACTCAGTGGTGCCCTGAAACAATGCATTCTCATGTATTACAGAGTTGATTTCTGTTTTGATGTCTGATAGCTCTATTGTTTATAAAAAATCTACACATTTTTCTGGACCCAAAAATCATTCCTATCCCATGTCTTAAAACAAAAAGTGATTTGTTTTGTAAGATGCCATTACAAATTTAAGTATGTGTATAATTCACTAAAGACGCAAAAACAGCCAACCAAGCTACACTGCTTTCTCATTCAATATAATCATAATGCATGCTATAATTCTGCTTTATTTTTAGAAACTAAAGCAAACAAAAAACTTCCTTATAAGTGACTAATCTTTAATATGCCTAAAAATAATGCAAATGGACAAAAGAAAATTTAAAAATTCAATACACAAGCAACTAAAAAACTTTTAAACAGACTTGTGACTAATCATTAAGACCATTAGATCACTGAAATAGCCATCTGACTCAGCAATTCTATTTTGTCTAAAGGCAGAAAGAGCAGCACACAAAGATTCATGAACAGATGATTCTTTTTAAAGTGTTTTTAGAAGTATCTTTTTATCAGTTTTTGTTTTTGTTTTTTTTTTTGCAGTGCTGGATCTTCACGCATGCTAGGAAAGCACTTTATCACTGAGCTACATCCATCCCTTTTTAGAATTTTAATCTGAGATGGAGCATAACTCAGTTGACCAAGCTGGTCTCAAACTTGTGATCTTCCTATCTCAATCTATCAAACAGCTGGAATTACAGGTGCCATGCACCATAACCAGCTAAGATGATTTTTAACTGTTCAATGTTTTCAAGAGATCCTAAAACAAGCATGTACTGCATTTGTAATTTTAAAGTTTAATTACCTGGTTTCAAGCTTAAATTCTGAAAGTTTAGCTCTGAGTTCTTCCTTACTCATTCTATTAATACAACCATTTGTAACAGCAATCTCTTTGTAAACTGGGTCACTGAAATCACTTCCATTGGAGGTAATGAACTTAGATCCTTTTGTTTCTTGGCCATCAAACCTGTATAGTTGCTTTTTCTACAGGAAGAAAAGTAAAAGAACAGGGGAGAACATGGCTTACAATTAGTCCAAACAACTTATACTTAAAGATTCAAACTCCTGCAGCATTTTCATGTTCAATGAAAGTGCAACTGATAGAAGAAGGACTGAATAGGAAACAAACATATGTTTCCAATATAATTTACCCTGATCTATTCTGAGTCATAAAGTTCCTCAAAGGCAATGAAGCTAAGTAAAAAGAGCCACAAAACTCAAGCTAACCATTTACTGTTTGCCTTTGATCCTGTTTTCTTATCTATAAAAAAAAGAATTATTTCAAATGGTATTTAGCAATGGTAAATAGTATTTGGGAAGCAGTATAGAATAAGATTAGGTACACCAGGTTCCTAATACCAGACCAAGAAGTGGCTATCAGTAAATGGCAACTTATTACCATCATAAGCTGTAAAACTATCTTCACACAATTTTCCAAAACTTAAAAATGAGCCAATTTTTAAATGAACATTGGCACTGAGTATGTATAAGTCAGTGACTTCCTGAGAATTTTATAACTTGACTTCATTTCACGAAATTAAAGAAATTGCCCAATACCAAAAGGGACCAAGAGATGGAGGGAAGGGGTAGAAAGGAAGGCGGAAGGGGAAGGAAAAAGAATTACAGTAAACATTTTATGTACATGTACCAACTACCATGAATGTATTCAGTATGTACTATAAACATTTACTAATCAAATTTATTTTTTAAATTTTAAGGCAAAAAAGAGTAGTTGCCTAACTAAATCAAAAGACTGCAAATCTGGTTCAAAATTTCCTTGTACACAAAGAAAATGTATTGTTTCAAAGCTCACAACTTTCTTTTTTTCTTTCTTTCTTTTTTCTTTTTTTTTTTTTTGGTACCGGGGATCAAACTTGGGTTCTTGTGCTTGCAAGGCGGTGGAACCACTGAGCTAAATCCCTGGCCCTAAAGCTCACAACTTTCAAACATTACACATACACCAGTTATTCAGAACTGTAGAGTTACCATATTATAAATCTTTTTTCTTACATTAAAATCTATTTTAAAAAAACAACTCAATTCTATTCTCAGGCAGTTTTAATTATGTATGTTAAGTTCTAAATACTTACCTGTAAGTTTATTATTTTCCACATGGAACATTATAAACTATGCTCCAGAATTCTAAAAAATAAGTTTGGTATCTACTGTTAATATATTAATGTTTGTTAACTTAGTCGTAATCATAATTTACCATATAATTTGTCCCCTTGTAAACTCTGATTACAGATTAAGAAGAATTATCAAGGATACATGTTGCAGTAAATGATATTCATGGTTCATGGACTATTTCTTACTCTCACCTCTCATTTAATGCAGCACACATTTACTGAAAAAGTAATGGTTATGTGCTGTCCCTTTACTACCAGGGCTTCACCCTCAGAGAACAGCAAAATGGGAGGAAATAACCAAAAAAAAAGCTCCACCACAACACAATGACTATATCAACAACCACACGTTCAAGAAGACCAGAGAATGTAAACAAGGAAGGATATGAAGCTTGTGACTAATATGAGTCCACCCATCATTTCTACTTTTGCCCCTTCCATGCATATCTTTTTCTCACCCCCATATTACCTATTAAAAAAAAACAAAAAAACAAAAAAACTCACAATGCCTGCCTGGCAAGTGTGAGGTCCGGAGTTGGATCCCTGGTACCAAGAAAACAAACATAAAAAACAATTTTTCCATCTTCACGTTGGAAAAAAAAAATTAGAAACAATGTATTTTAGGGTTAAAAAACTATAATATTTAATCTTATGATTAAAATTCTTCCAAAATAGTTCTGAACGAAAATTGAAACTATCTTTACAATATAAAAATGTGTCAGCCACCAGTTTATAAAATAACTGAAACTAGGGATAATGGAAATTTATTATCTCAATCCCAACAAAAAACTCTGCTTGAGATTGAAAAAAATTGTATACTCATTTAAGAACATCCAATAATAAGTTGTTAATAATACGACAATCACCAAAACCAATTTGGGACACAGCCCCAAGCTTCAAGTTTCCGCATCTCAAAGTTTCAAGACTATCAAACATAATGAAATATATTTAACACACTTCTCTTACTAAAAAAGAACTTTTGGGGCCAGGGATTTAGCTCAGAGGCACTGCACCTACCTTGCAAGCACAAGGTCCTGAGTTCGATAACCAGTACCCTCCCAAACAAAGAACTTTTGAACGTTATTTAAATTGATGATATTACTGACAAAATATCTCAGAATAAAGACAGAAATAGAATGGAAGAGTGGCTCCTTATAGAGAGCACATGGATGGTCTCTTGCAATGATAGCAACTTAAGGAGAATGAGATAACCATGAGGAGGAAAAGCGAATGGGGGCGAACGGAACATGTAAAGAGTCTAAGTAGAAAGCCCTTAAATGTAAGGAGCAAACATTCTAGGAAGCCTCTTGCAAACAGCCAATTCATGAGGTGCTCAACGTGTGTCTATTACTGCAAAAACGATTAATTTTAATATTAGATTATTTACAAGCCATAGGGCAAGTCAAGAGTAGCTATAGTCATTACATGGTAAGTTTTAAAACGGTTTTGCAGTGTTGCTACCGTAATTAGGATCCACCAGTGAGATATCAAAATCATTATATACTACGTCATCTTTGCGATAATAGGAAATGGGTAAAAACCAGAAGCAATGCTCCAATTAGTAGGGAGACATCACAGTCAGGTTGTTAGGGCTGAGGAAGAAGGCTGGCTGACCGTGCCTTAACACGTTCACATTTTTTTTAAAGCCTAAAAAGTGGCATATCTACGACATATAGTACTTTAAAAACTAACTTGGTAAAATGACAAGAGGAGCAGTGAACACAGACTATCTAGAGAATTCCCACTCAGTTTACAAAACCACAGCTCACAGAACTTCCCCGCCTATTTACTGTCACCCGGAGAGAATTCGGCCCGAGGGTATCAAACCACAAGGGGCCTGGGGCTGGGGCCAGAGATCGCGGCCAGGCCGATTGCAGCTCAAAGCGCGCAGGCTGCAGCGGCTGCCGACCCCCTGAAAAAGAGGAGGACCAGGGCGGGGGCGCGGGCCGAGAGCTCACCGTGAGGTTCGGACGCGGCGCCTCCTCACACTGCCGCACGGCCTCGCCGCCCGGCTGCCTGCTCTGTTCACCCTCCATGCCGTCTCTCACTCCAGAAGACAGCTGTTAGAGTCGGCCACTCGTTCACGCTCGCCACTAAGCCCCAAATCCTCGCTTTCCTCTGCTGTAAAACTAACCGCGCGTATTCCCGCGGTGGCCGCCACATGATGGCGGGAAGGGAGACAGGCGCGCGCGGGAGGGAAGTGGACGTGGACAGCTCTACCCTGAGGTAGCGCGGGCTGAGTTTAAAACCTTGGCGCTGGGGGGCGCGGGCTGAGTAAATCATCACCTCAACCTTTCTTTTCGTGTGTGTGCGTGCGTGCGCGTGTTTGTGTACCTGTGTTCGTTCCCAGGGCCTTCTCACTGAGCTACATCCTCGCCTTTTTGTATATTTTAGACAAGGTTTTAAGTCGCCAAATTGCCCAGGCTGGGCTACGTAACTTGCCATCCTCCTGCCTGCCTTAGTTCCCAGAGTGCTAGGATTGCGGGCAGGCATCACCACACTCAACCATCTCATCAGTATTTCTTGCGAAGGAAAAAAAGGCGCATGGTAGAGAGCTTTTCAACCGTAACAAATTCTATTTATTAAACAGTTTACATTCCCTGTGAGACGTTCAAGGCTATCACTTTTCATGCAAGAGGAAATAGACTTAGTGTCCTGCACTAAGCAACTGGCAAACCGAACAAAACACAAAGTACATGAAATTACTCTTCAGGCGTAGACTACAGGCAGTTCTGGATTGTTTCACCGGAAAGAAGAAGAACAAGCAAGATGAGCCCTGTATTACCTTGACTTAATGCCTACAGTAATTATCAGTCTGTAAGGCAGGGAAAGGAAACAGAGACCCAGGGTCTTCTGAATTGAGAATATAGGAATTTGGCGTTTAGGCGCTTGGAGGGCAAGCTGGTTGGAAATCTGCTTAAGAGCACCTCTGAAGCTTTAACTGAATAACGATCAAGCAAGGAAAGAACAGTTATTGGGGACTAGTAAGTTAATGAGTTAGCAAAGCTCAAAAAGGACAGGGAAGGGCCAGGCATGTAGCTCAGTGGTGTCACATCTACCTGGCAAGTGCAAGGTCCTGAGTTTGTTCCCTGGTACTGCCTCAGAAAAGGACAGGATATCATCTGAGTTCCCAGCAACCAGAATGGAAAGAATTGACCATGTGAAACTTACTATAATAGACACCTAAACTTGAAGGCCCAGAATAAAAGCTATTGTAGATCCTTCAGAATCCCTTAAAAGGATCAAACTGCTCAGTGAATAACCTTATTGCCTGCTGGAACAAAGTCATCTACTCTGTAAAAGACTGCAACAAAACCCAAGATCCAACAACATTGAATTCAGAATATTTTAGCACCCAGTAAAAAAATTAAGAGATGCCAGGCATAGTGGTGAGACAGAAGATTAAGGCATAGCAAAGCTGGTTAGGGAATTAAGTGTGACCTGTTAATTACAAAATCATAGGACACATTCACAGTACAATTCCCAAAACCCTGCATGTGAACTTGCAAGAACTTGAGCAGGTTTTCAATAGAATAATCTAGACCTGAAGTCAGCCTGACGTGAGTAATAAAAATAGGATAGTCCACTCTGAGTCTGCCAGTGTTCTCTCTTGCATGGATGGACTGCCCTCACATGAAGGATATACTCCTTTTCCTACTTTTTCTTGGCCCAAACTTGCTCTGCAGAGCCTATTTCTTTTCTTACCTGTAATAAAACTTTTCTACCACGTACTTATCTTGAACAATCCTTTGCTCAGAACAGAAAGAACCTAGAAACCACCTTCAGAAGGAGACTCTAGCAACCCAATATCCAGTAGCAGTAGTACTTGCCAGCAGTTCAGGAGAATCTCAAATTTGAGGCATACCAAGGGGCACAAAACTGTGCAGTCAATAGAAACACTCAAAAATTTTTAAGTATGGGCTGGGGATGTAGCTCATGGTGCCACACCTGCCTGGCAAGTGGAAGGTCTTGAGTTCAATCCCTGCTACCAAAAAAATTATAAATATGATAGAATTTAACAAAGGACTTTAAACACCTATTATATATGTGCTCAATATATTCAGAGATTTAAAGCAGAGTATGGAAGAGAAACTGGAGAGAAAAAAGACAATTTCTAAAGATAAAATGCATAATATCTCAAGTAAATCATGAGCGGTGGCACATACATGTAATCTCAACTTTCTGAGAGGCTGAGGAAGGAAGATCATAAGCTCAAGGCCAGCCTGGGTAACTCATTGAGACTGTGTCTCAGAAAAAAAAAAGTGTCGAGAATGAAGCTCAGACTTGCACTTTAGTACTGTACTGTGATTTGTATTGATGAAAATTCTAAGGTATAGTAAACTTTCATTCCTTTAACAAATATTTCTTGAACTATGTCTATATGCCAGGAATGAGCAGTGAACAAAATAGAAAGAAGTCTTTGCCCTAGTGGAGTTTATATTTAAGAAGTAGAATACTGCCAGAGACTCCTACAGTAATTTTGTAGCCCCCACTTACCTAGTATGTGATGCAAGATTGAAAAACTCGACAGAGTTAAAGAGAAAGTATGAACTTGAACAGCCAATGTTCCTCTGGCAAAAGGCACTTGCCTGTCTCATCTACCAAATTACATTATACATCAACTAGGGTAAAGGTGTAATACGTGCATAGGTGTGTATAGATGTGTAGTACATGCAATTACCATGGAAACCAGTGCAGGCAAAGCTTTAAAGAGAAGAGTCAAAGCATTTTCAGATTAGAAGCAAGATAGGCAAAATATATGACTGTAATTAGAGCATTGTCCTTCAAGCTACAAAGGCACTACTTTTGGGAATGGAATTTGGGTGTGATTTACTCTGACCATAATACACGTGTTATGTCATATTAGCCCCATGGTTTCATAGGCCATTATTCTGGTCTTAGCCATGGCCGTTAGCAGGGAGGTCACATTGACCTGGGTGCTACCTCAGTGATCACGAGATACTTCTGTGAGTCATATAGCTTCAGTCAGACTGACTTCTTAAAGTAAGCCAATTGAGCGATGTAGCTCTTTGCAGCCTGCACTACTTACAGCATATTTGGGTATAATAAATATTGCAGACTCTGGCATCTCCTCCTCCTGTCTTTAGAAACTGCATCAGCTGCATCAAAGTGAACTGAGGCTGGAGTACTTCCAGATGATGGTTGCTTATTCCTCTGTAGCAGGCTAGAAACAAGTTAAGCAGAAATAAATAAGTCCTCTAATACCAATATAAAACCAAAAATGAACTGTGAGATAAGTAAAAGGATTAAATTGATCAAGCACATCAGTAAATTTGCTCCACTCTAGAGCTTGAGAATCAAATAGGGCTGTCTGTTGAAATATGGATAGAACCTCCTTCTGGAGGGTAGCAATATTGAAGGTAATGTTTTGATGAAGGGCTCCTCAACCATTCCCAAGGATAGGAGATTCATTATAAGGCAAAGGAATCACACAAAATCAAGATATGTTGTAGTGACCTTTTAGGCCTTGTTGCAGTTGTAAACTTTTAATTGGTTTCCCATCTATAGCACTGCAGTTTCTAGGACACTAACCTGAGTTTGTAATTTAAGGTCACTGAGTTGCTGGATTCTCCAGCTATTATCAGCAGTTTTTGTCGAATTAGCTATAAAATGAGTAGTCTAAACAGAATGGGTGAGGGCTACAGACTCCACCACTGTACTGGAAATCAATAATACAAAAGAAATTATTCCAGCAATTATGAGTCCCACCATGCACTTAACACGAATCAAATGATTGAACGAAGCATGAAGAAAAAGTGAGGCCGAAGAACGATATCATGGTTCTGTAAGGATTACAGGCAACCACACACCAGGCAACTTGCCCATAATAATGATTGTCTGGGAACTGAGGACGTCTCTAGTTCTGATACAGTGAGTTAGATAACAATTATAACAAGAAAAGAAATTTGCTCACCAATTACCACTACCATAGAGAAAATATGTAAGTGTCCTAAATACAAATATCTGTGGGAATTATTTTAACTAGATGGAAGACTAATCTGGTTATACCACTTGATGCATTAGCTTCTTTTCCTGTATATATTTTTCCAGAGAAAAAGGGCAATCCCAATTTCCAAATAGTTTGTTGAATGAGATCTGGTTTTCCTTTATAAATACATTGAGGGATTCAAGGAATTAAATCCCATTCCCATCCAGTTTATCCTATTAGCTGCATTAGAAATAAGCATTTGATTTTTCCAAATACAAAAATTGAGATTGGGCCATTCTTTAAATAGTCCAATGAATGCCCCAACAAGTGCCCAATCTATGAAGAAGTTGCCAGAATTAACAGTATTTATTCCATATTGGGCCCTGCATGTCTCCCATAAAAGAAACATGCTATCTGTAATCAGTGGAAAAGCAACTCTAGACCTGCAAACTGGAAGATTAGGATGATACATTGTGGTTTTCTGGCCAGACTTGGGGTAGAACCTAACGGGCTCATAACCCTATTTTGTTGGGAGAAACCCAGGATTGAGGTCTGGCTACAGAACAGGGATGATTTTCTCCACACTTTCTGGTGACACATAATGGTGAGTGAATGAAATGTGAAATGAGATTTTATGTGACTTGTTCATCCATAAAAGTTACAGTTTGTGGTCCAGATATAACATTAATTAAAGGAGCAGTATCATCTGGAGCATGAAAAATCTCTGGAGGCAAGTCCATCCAAGTCACTGGTCTCAGTAAGGAGAATTAGGAATGTAAGCCCAATATTACTCAGCTATGACAGGTCTTATAACAAAATGCACTACTTTACAAAAGACTTGAAGAAGAGATGAAGTAAACTATTAGAATGTCTTGGAGAAGAGAAGTTCAAACCCAGTAAGCAAAAAGTGAAAAGACCCTGCATGATATACAAGTTTAAAAGGAGAAACAAAATCACTTTATTGGAAATAGGAGAGAAATAAGATGGACAGCTACATTGTTGGAGTGAGGTAGGGAGCTCAGAGCTGGTGCTCAAAGGTCTTTGTTCTTAGCCCCTTTTATTATGTGGCAAGAAAAGGACTCACCCTTAATAGTTGTTATAATTTGATTGGTGATTTTAGACTTTGAGACCCCTGATTTGGCCACTGACCTTATCTATTGCCTACACATAAATCCTTGGGTAAGCTCCTTTTACTGTCTTTGTTTTGTCAAGGTGATATGTCTGAAATTTATAGCACAGCCTTACATTCAAGGCTGAATTAGCAATTTGTAAAGGGGTACATGTACCTTTTAGAGCATTAACATTATGAGAGAATGTGTGTGTGTGTGTGTGTGTGTGTGTGTGTGTGTATATATATATATATATATATATATATATATGTGTATGTACGTATGTATTTATATACATAGGTGTGTGAATATCCTTTGGACTTAACTGAAGATGGAGAACAATGAATTGGGACCCTGGAACCAAAGTAAGCCTGAGCCAGGCAGCTTATCAGTTCTCCCTGCTTCTCTTAATTGCTCTCTTTAGCAAGGGTTTAACTGTTTCCAGTCGGGATTTTCCAGAAACCTCACTAAGGCCCTTACCTTTCTCTGCCTCTGACTTTCCCTACAGCAGTATGCGGGAGACTAAATGTTGTTTCACATCACAAAACACCAAAGGAGTAATCCTGATGACATTAGCACCTCTGGCCTAAGAAAATGTGTACCATAGTTGGATATCTGGAAGAGCAAGTGTCCCTAAAGGATTCAGATTGGCACAGCCCAAAAGAGAAGTTCTATAATTGGTTATTCTCGGATTCACCTCAGTGGGAAAATGTACCTGCCTTCTATCTAGCTATAATGTCTCTGGATTAGTATACCCTCTGTGACAAATTTGTGTGTTGCTAGATGGCAGGGTCAGTAAATTACGTAAGGCTTGAGTAGTTATTGACCATTACAGAGGACAGTCACACTTCTTTTCCCATTGCTACATATGCCATGTCCTTCTCTGTTCTTTTGGTCTGTGGTGCCTGATTTTATACAATTCCCACACCACTTCTATTGCTTAGCTTTGAAATATGTCTTAATATTGTATAAAAGAAGTGTTTCCCTCTGCACATCATTTTCAAGACAGACATATATTTTATGGATTCTCAGTCTTTCACATACATTGTAAGAAAAATTCACTGGTTTCCCCCCAAAAAACCAATAACATTTTTGATTAAGGTTGAATTCATGGAGCCAGGTATGGTGGTATACTCCTGTAATCCTACAGCACTTTGGAGAGCTGAGACAAGAAGATTGCAAATTCAGCTCAGCCTGGACAATTTAGCAAGGCCTTGTCTTAAAACAAACAAACAAAAAAGGGCTGGAGGTGTAGCTCATTACCAGTGCAAAGGCCCCGAGTTCAATTCCTAGTACTGCCAAGAAAAAGAAAAAAGATTAAACTCATTAAATTAATTTGAGGAGAGATGATTTGCATATGTTTAATTACACCATCGTAGGTACTATTTGTGTGTGTGTGTGTGTGTGTGTGTGTGTGTGTTTGCTGGAGATTGAACCCAGGGCTTCACACATGCTAGGAAAGTGCTCTGCCACTGAGCTACATCCTCAGCCCAGGTACCGTATTGTTATTGCTTATCTCTTGATGTTGCCCCAAAGCCTCATGCTCTCTTTGATGAGCCATTTAGAAAGTGACTGGACTATGGGTGTAATGTTGGATTAGTCCACTGATGGGTTTATAGTTGGGTGTGATGTTGGAGGATGAAGCTTGGTGGGAAGAAGTAGGTCATTGTAGCCTTGACCTAGATGAATATATGTATTCTTATTCCTCTCTCAGTGGCTCTCTGCTTCCTGCTGCCATGTGCCTCTTGCCATGCCACCCTATCTTGAAGCCAGCGAACTATGGACTGAAACCTGAAACCTGTACAAACTGTAAGCTAAAATACACCTTTCCTCTTTTAACATATAGATGTTGAGCAATTTTTCCTAGCAACAAAGAAAGTACATAACTAAGTCACCTATTGCAAATTTGATCTGTCTACCCAGTTTGTCATTTATGTTTTTTAAAAAAGCAAAACTACATTTATTAATAGGAAGGGGAGAGGTCTTGAGAGGAGAATGGGGTACAATAAAATACAATTTATTTTTAAAACTACGTTTATTTATTTCAAGATAATTGAAACCAGACTGGATATTTGCATTTTTACTTTAAAATAAAAGTAATATTTCTGAAATCCACACTCGAGAAAGAACATCGATTCACTCATTATAAAGCACAAACATCAATTTCCAAAACACTAACTCTCTCTAGCACAAGAACAAAGATTAGTCTTCCTTTGGAAGATGCCAAAATGTTATATAGTACAGATCTTTAAAAGCCAGCTTTGGTTTCACTGAGAAACACCTTATACCTAATACTTAAGATAAATAAGCACAAAGTCATGCTCCTGAAGTTGTCTCTGGTATTCTCAGTTGCTGAAGCAGCCCTTAGGACATAAACAAACCAAAACCCGATTCTGCAGTGTATTCTTTTCTTCTTGTTTATTTATTTACATTGACACATAATTTTATAAATCTATGGAGTAATATATGTTGCTTTGATACTGGTAAATATTGTGTAATGATAAAATCAGGGTAATCAACATATCTTTCACTTCAGACATTTAGCATTTCTTCATTATGAGACATTCAAAATCTTCTGTTTATTTTGAAATAACTATTTGTTAACTAGAGTCACCTTACTGTACAAAACTTGGAGAAGGAAGTACCATCATAGTGCATAACTTGACTTACAAAGAAAAAATATTTAACAGTTGAAAAGAGTGTGTTTTTGTAATAATGGCTAGGTTTCAGCCAGACACGAATAGCTGAGCTTCAGTCAATCACAGGCTCCCAGTGGAACAGACCAGGTCCAACCACGGCAAGGCCTCATGGTAGTCAAGTTATTGTTGTGTTTTATGTCTGTATTCAGCTAAAAAAAATCATACTGCCCTCACTACACGGTGAGTAGCACTCTTGGAACCCTTTTTCACTTTGAGTACCACCCATTTCATGACTTGTCCTTTTCAGACAGATTTGTCTGAACATTTTCTTTCAACACTGAAGGGCACCGTCGGTACCAGAAACACAAAACACCTTAAACTGTGTTCTTTCTCACAGAATTAGCAGGTGTGTATATCTGTTTCTTTTTATATCATTTATTTCACTTGTTTTTAGTTGCTGGACTGTCCAAAACTTCAGTTTCACTTTTTCTACCTTCTGACTCAGAAAGCTTAATTTTGTCCATGGCAACTTGGCAACTTCGTGGGTGACACCAAGCATCTCATCCTCTGACTCTGAATTGTCCTCCCAACTCTCTGTGGAACTCTTATGAACTGTCTTCTTCTTTTGAATCTGTGTGGTTCATCCCATATAAGTTATATATCTTTGCTGACGATCTCATCAGTATTTTCAATATCCAAAGGATGGAGGGAGCAGCTTCCATTTTTTAGCTTCTCATTCACCTGGGCCATCTGTGGGAGAAAGTTCTGAACTTGATCTGGTAATGAATGGACACCTCTCTATCTGAACTGTTTGAAAAGTAGAGGTTGTTCTGGAATTAGACTTGGAGTTGACAAGCAACTTGTTCCATGTACCTCCTCAGCCATCACCCACAGTCAGCATGAGACCCTCAGCACACCCAGGTAGGTGACAGAGAACTCAGGCTGGTTTGAGACTTGCCACGGAGTCTCCATATCCTGCTTCCACAGCCAGCCTGTTTTCAAAATGTTATGATTTTTTCCACAGAGATCTTGTACATCTTGGTTAATTACTAGACACATTATGGGGATCTCTCCCATTATATTTTATATCATTTTGACTGTTCTTTTTCTTTTTTTCCTAGACAGGGTCTCTCTAAGTTGCTAAATTGTCCTGGCTGGGCTTGTACTTGTAATCCTCCTATCTCACTCAGCCTTTCAGAATACTGGGATTATAGACATGTACCACCACAGCCAATGTGAATATTCTATTTTTAAACTGAAATTTAACTTGGTTATTTGTTTGAAAAATACCATTGATTTTTAGTTGTTAATCTTTTGTGGATTATAATAGTTTTATTATTTTGTTTTTATATCGACATTTTTTTAGATTTTTTTCCAAGATGAATGATCACAGTTCTGCAAATAACCACATTTCTAAGTCTACTCTTCTGTCCTTATGCATTTTCATTTTCTTTTCTTATTGCAATGGCCAGCAGCCTTTTTAACATGTTAATAGTAATAGTGCTATGCTTATTTTGTGGAAATGCATATAAAGCATCTTGGCTTAATTTATTGTTTTGTGCAGGTTCCAAGGTTCTTCAGTAATTTGAAAATATGACTTCATTTTCTTCCCATATCCAATGTTGCTTTGAAAACTGATGACAATGTGATTTTTGCTCCTTTGTAGAAGATCTGTTCTTTGTAGAGACTAAAAGTTTTCTCTTTGTCACCGATATTCTTAAATTTCACTATAATGAATCTAGGTAGAGATTTTCCATTCTTGTTTTCCTGTTTGGAACAATGACTGTGTCTTTCAATTTCATGTCTCTCATTTTTATTTTAGGAAAATTTATCTTCATCATTTCTTTTTCTTTTTGTTTTGTTTTGTTTTGAGGCAGGGTCTCACTGTGTAGTTCAGGCTGACCTGGAACTCACTATATAACCCAGGCTGGTCTCGAACTCACAGCGATCCTCCTGCCTCAGCCTCCCGAGTGCTGGGATTACAGGAGTGCACCACCACGCCCAGCAATGTTACAAGGTCTTGCTATGTAGTTCAAGCTGGTTTTGAATTCACTTTGTAGTCCAGGCTGGCCTCAAACTTGCTACAATCTTCCTGTGTCAACCGCCCAAGTGCCAGGATTACAGGCAATACCATCATACCCTGCCTTCATTATTTCTTTAAGTGGAGCTTCCTCTCAGTTTTTTCAATCTAGGATTCATGATATCTAGATATTGGCTTTGTATTTCTACCTTTAATAATCCTCCACATTTCTTAGATTTTCTTTTTTATATTTTCTATATCTTTTTTTCCCAATTGTCTCCTAGGAAACTTCCACAGTCTAATTTTATAAATTTCTAACTTGTTCTTCTTCAGCTGTATCTGCTCTACTATTTTCTTATTTATTATATTTTCCTTCCCATCTATTTTTTGTTTGTTTGTTTGTTTTGAGACAGGGTCTAACTATGTAGGTCAGGCTGGCCTTGAACTGACTGTAGCCCAGGCTGGCCTCAGACGACCCACAATCCTCCTGCCTCAGTCTTCTAAGTGCTGGGATTACAGGTGTGTGCCATCATGCCCACCTCCATCTATTTTATTTTGTCAAAGAATAACCAGAAACTTTCAGTTAAATTGCTTCAGGAATTAAGTCATATGAGGAAGATAGTCATTAGATCATTGTTAAGAAACAAAGACCGTGGGAGAGCCACAGTGCTTGGCTGTGGCTGAAGAGTGCTTGGTATTTGTACATGCGTGGTATAGAGCAGTCAGCCTGGGTAAGCCAAGAGAAGCATCAGAGCAAACCAGCTTAATGGCTTGTAGTTTTTTAAAAAACCCTGACAATTTTAACTAGACAGACTCTGCGATATCTTTGCAGCAGAGCCATCCGCTTTGCTGAGGCGAAATTTATATCATCCCCCTCATCAGAATTTCTCATTCTCCATAACTTCTGGTTTCATTGTAAATGATTTTTTAGGTTTGGGTCCTATTAGGAGCTTCCTTTATTTCCTTAAATGTATTCATCATGCTTCCCCCGCACCACCGGAATCAAACTCAGGGTCTTACACTTGTCAGGCAGGTGCTGCAAATTATTTGTTGGTTTGTGCACATTCTGCCCTTTTTTTCTGTTTCCAGTGTTTAGGTGATCTCAAATTAGACAACAAGCATAACTATTGTGAAAGATTAATGCTAAAGTAAGTTTTTTAGGGCTCTTGGCCCCTAGATAATAACTCAATCTAGGACTGACCTTTTCACAAATAACAGAATAAAAAAACTTTTATATATAACTAAAGATCACATCAGATAGATTTCCATAAAATTATCATGACTGCATTATGTTTATATTTAACTTGTATTTTGTACAAACAAGACTGTGGAAGACATTTTTAAAGTTTCAATGATTTGACAATCTTTACAAATTTTCGTGATTTTTTATAAGCACAGGCATTGAAGAAAATACTTGAAAATAAATTACATTGCCTTTTGTCCATGAGTCAGCAAATAAAACATGGGCTAAAGAGAAAGAAAAAAAAATAGACTTTCTATTATGAGAAAATTCAGATATTTATTTAACATTTGAACTATTCATTTGGAAGTTATCATAATTCATCTGAGCCAGACAGAAACAAGAAAGATAAAGCAAACACATTGTGTTTTAAAAACCTGTAATTTGTATTTGTATCTTAGTTCTGTTTCCCACTGATTTGCATTGTATCAGAAATTCAAGTTCTCTTAAAAATTATAGCTTTTTTCTGATTGTGAAAGTCATGTATGCTCAACAAAGAAATTGAAGAAAATAGGTGGCTGGGCGTGGTGGTGCACACCTTTAATCCCAGCACTTGGGAGACTGAGGCAGTAGCATATCTGTGAATTGAAGACCAGCCTGGACTACACAGTGAGTTCCAGGTCAGTTTGAACTACATAGTGAGACCCTGTCTCAAAACACACACACACAAAAACTATAAAAAAAAAAAAAAAAAAAAAAAAAAAAGAAAGAAAAGAAAATAGACGTATTTCACTGAGGTTTGGACAAGGTCTCACTGTGTAGTTCAGGCTGGCCTTGAACTCACTGTGTAGCCTAGGCTGGCCTCAAACTCGCAGCAGTCTTTGTGCCTTAGCCTCGCTAGTGTGTGTGCCAAACTTCACTCCTTTGAGATTTAATAGCAACAGTGATTAGGCTGTGTGAGAAGTAGGTT